AGTAAAAACACTACAGGGTGTGTTCCTTGACCTGTCAAAGACGTTTGATTGTGTGGATCACCAAACTTTGTTACTGAAAATTGAGTTCTGTGGTGTTCGCATCGTGCCTCTTTTGAGGCTAGAACCCTCCATAGTGACAGGAGTCAATCCGTTCAAATTTCAAAACCCATCAAATTTAGCTATGCCGTCCCTCAGGGATCTATACTCAGTTCTGGCCTGTTCCTTATTTATGTCAATAACATCGGAACATCTCTCTACACCATGGACAGATGGTTCAGTACGCCAACAACAAAAATCTTTTCTTTCGTGGAAATTCAAATTCTACTTTGGAAATTAAAACATTTGTTGATTTAAATTTGTGCATTAAAAATTTTGAGGAAATGAATTTGAAAACAAATCCAACAAAATCCCACTTTATCAATTTCCGTCTCGGCTCAAGAAGCTCTGACGTTTCTCCTACGGTCATGATCGAAAAACTATTGGCACATGAGCTGCACTAAGTTCCTCAGAATACTCCTTGACGATGGATTGACTTGGAACAATCATGTTGACAGTGTATGCTCAAAGGTCTCAAGGGCACATTTGCCTTAAAGAGACTCGCAAAATACTGTTGTTGCAAAACCCTTCTCATGGCCTATTTGGCCTTATTTATCCTCACCTCACTTACGGGATTGTGTTGGGGTATGGATTACCTTTTTTCCAGGCTTTTCAAACTCCAAATAAGGGCAGTAAGAAGAATTGCTAATCTAAAAAGAAGAAAATCCTGCAGGGTGGCATTTGCATCCTTGGGCCTGGGTTTAGTCTGCCCAGTGCCTAAGTTTTTGAGACAGTGGTTCGTTGTCATTTGAAAAGTAGCTTAACATAGGGTTTAGACATACACCGACACAATACGAGAGGAAGAGAGAACTTCTGCCTGGGCCAGCCCAGCTTAGAATGGCAGTATTTGAAGGCTTAAAACCTTCTGAGCTCAGCTGGCATTCCTCTCATCAAGTTTGCCCAACTGGTTCAGAGCAGAACAAGATGTATGAAAAATTAAAACTAAACTAAAGCGCATGTTAACTTCACAAGCATTTCATTCGGTGGAGGAGTTTTTGGCTCACCGCTGGTAGACTTCTAGGACCTCGTCTTTTGGACTACTCTGGTTTATTGTATGCCGTTATATTTCTGTTAAATCTACATTATCATCGGAAGACCTGAACCAATTTCTATTTCCGTGCTGGACAATAAAAACAAGAACATAGCTTCCAAGGTTATCATTATGAGTTGACATTCAAAATTTTATTTAACACTAATCACCGATGGATCTCGTCTAGAGCTGGGTGTGGGAGTTGAAGGGAGAATGTGGTTCGATGAGGTGTCGTGCTTTACCAGGGTGTGCTCATACAGTGCAGTGCTTGTGCACAGCTCTCTAGGGGTCCCTAATTCCAGGAAGGACCTAGCACTCACCCGTCTAAATGCAACCCCTAGTTACTCGGGTGACCTGCGGCAATTTGGAATTGTTGATGTCTTACAGATTACAGTAGTAAGTCCGAATATCCCTTTCCCTACCCTAATTACCAGCAGGAGGGTGGCAAAGGGGACAGTGCAAATATCTACACAGTCATTTGGAATTAGAACTTCTTTACAATGTTCAAAGTCCAAGTTAGGGATAGCCAGTACAACCGTTCGTCGTTTAGTTGTGTTGAAGTTTCACCCAGTGTGGTGTCACCTCTTGTTACGTAGTACTGTAAAGTAGTAGGAAACAGTGTTAGCCTATTTATGACTGTCGATTTTCTGTTAATATATAACTCAATGTTATTGTATGGTTTTTATTTTTGTAATTGTAGCCTAAAGTATATATTAAAAACTTGAAACAAAATTTAAATATACCTCGGCTTCCATTAAAAAAAAGGTCAGGGCTTTGATTATTATTAGAACTGGTTTGTCAATTTAAACTGCTCGAATAAACTTTAAACTTTAACGATGTTCAAGCGGTAGGCCTACTCACTTTAATAATATTAAAGCAGTTTCCACAACTCCACAGCATACTAGGCGAATTTGACAACAAGACCCCCATAAAATGTTGTTTTAACACAGTCTCCAAAGCTAAAAATGCAGAAGAATGTTGAACATTGCGACATGTATACTGACTCTCACAAGTGGCCCTGAACATCAAGCATAACTTACAGCAAACTGGATCCTCAAACTACGATTTTGGTGCTGGATTAATAAGGTCATTAATAAATTATGAGAAAGCCCAAAGCCTGTACGGTACTGCTAGTTTATTGAAGTACAGAGCAGTTCGACAGACGAGTGTGCTGTACAAGCACGATGTACAGTTAAGCCCTGCACACACCAGAGCGATACTCCGTGCGATACTGGAGCGGGCGCGATACTTTTTCTTGGAAATTCTCTTGCGATACCAGTGGTCCGTGCAATACCATGGAGCCTTATGGAGCCGCACACACCAGAGCGAACCGCGATATGCGATACCGAGGCGAATGCGATACCGTAGTGATAGTATCACGGTAACGCTGCATGCACTGTTTGCAGCGCTGTATCACGGCGATACCAATGTGGCCAAACGATGAACTACTCAGTTTTGACTTTTTTCTGTACGTGTAAAAACGACAACAACATGTCGTGTATCACCGAACATTTACTTGAAGTTGTTTATACATACCCGATGCACTATGATTTATATCACGTTTTAACAACTAGAAATTTAAAATAGGGTTCGTCTTCATTATTTGTTATTAAACTACGTTTTTCTGAAGAATTTACAATAGAATTCCCAAACATTCAGACATCTTAAATTTATTAATTATTTTAACACTTAAACATTTGATTTGAATTATCAATAGTTTTTCCAGTGCCGCTGTCAATCCAATGTTGGGTGATTGCTGACAGAATAACGTATTTAATACTGGTTTGATGATGATTCAAATTACTATTTAATAGTTCATACAATATTGTATTAGCTATAGCACAGCATATTGTAGAGGTTTTGCTAGTCAGACTAGACGAACTAGAGAGATGGTAGGTAATGGTAATGGTAATGGAGGTGGGTGGAATGCTAATTGATCCGTCAACTCATTGAAAAATATATCTACATACCAGTCTTACCTTAAAGTGATTTGGGAGCGAGCTGGCGTAGTGGTTAGAGCACGGGACTTCAGTCCCTGAGGTCCCGGGTTCGATCCCCGCCAAGTCACCAATGGATTTTATCTAACTGGTAATGCCGCAACCCCTAGGTCTAGCCTGAAGTAATGTGAAAAACAATCCCAGCGTGCGAGGAAAAAAACCTTAAAGTGATTGCTAGCCGTTCTTCGGCACTCGCTTCACGGTAGTGGGTACTTTCCTTTTCGATAATGCCAGAAATCAAACTCAGCAACTCGTCAAAACATTCCTGATTAATTCCAGAATATGTAGAATCTTGTTTAATCTTTTCTTAACTGGGTCATGAGCATATATGGTACTCGCCAAATCGCAGCCGTTCTTTATTTATGTCGTATACCCACATTTTCCTTGCTCTCTCATCTTCTATAATAGCACGGCTAGTTAACAGAAAAGCTTCTTCTTCATCAGACCATGTCATAGTTTTAAGTTTACACACAGTACAGTATACAAACACTAAGTATAACACAACACTTTTGCAACTAGAGAGTCTCACAACCACCGCACCCTCTGAGGTGTACCTACTGGCTTTCCCGCGCGTCCATTTCCCGCTCTGGTGTGGAAGCACCTGTTTTCGCTGCGATATTATCGCCCAAATATCGCAGATAAAATTCTAAGAATAGTATCGCGCCACTCTAGCGATAAAGTATCGCTCCGGTGTGTACAGGGCTTTAGGTCTAGCGTTTTTAGTCCCTGAGGACATCAAAATTAGAAAGTAAATCGGTTCCGAGCCTAGGTCTTACCGTGCCACCTACGGTACCTTATAGCTACTTCCCAATAGGGAAATTGGCTAAAAAAAGGTCTCGTATACTAGGAAAAGGCCTACGGTAATGGTTAGCTGAGACGTACCTACGCCTATAGGGAAATTTGCTAAAAATTAGGCTTTTAGACATGAGTAACAATAAATATCGGTTCAATATTAATATTGCAAGAGGTCTGTTGAATTAAGGCCTTAGAATCATTAAGTTACCACATGATACATGTAAAAACGATAGCCTTAACAAAAACATCAGAAAAGCTTTTGCCTTTTTTTTCCTCAGTTTTTATTAAAAGTCATTTGGGTACTTTTGTATTATACGGAGGCCTCTGATTTTAGAGAGTTTCTTTTTTTGGTAGGTAGGTACGGTACCTGCCTAAGTTTACTTGTTACTTTTAATTAAGATAAATTGTTTTTGGTTACGCCTAAGTTAAATTTTGTATGGTTTAATTAAATAAAACATAGAGGATACGCGTCCGGCAGTGACGTCACCGGGTTGTGGGGTCCCGTAACGCCATTACCACAACGATACGATGTTCGGCCAGCGTTGTTCGTGGTGTAGTGGATAGAGTGCTCGGCTGATATCCGCTGGCCGAATATTGTATCGTTGTGGTAATGGCGTTCCGGGACCCCACAACCCAGTGACGTCACTACCGGACGCCTAATCCACGTCTGGTTACCGGACGCATATCCTCTGTGTTTGTCAATATCGTTCAGTCAATAATAGTGATTCTATTTTTAAACCATGAAGTTACCAAATAAGATAAAGTAATTTACGACCCTGAATCCACCTTGGCCCTAGATTTAGGAAGTGCGTTTAGGGTGAGTTAGGTTGTAAATTGGTCTACCTAAATAGACCAACATACAAGGCTCTCTCTACTGAATAGGCTAGGCCTAGTGTGGATTATATGTTATCCTGAAGTTAGATACAGGTCTATTTAGGCTAACTTAGTAACTGACACCCAAATTAACCAAAGTAGGTTCGTCCCAATTTCTTCACAAGTTGTGTTTTTCAATCAACTTAGGCCTAAGGAAACTAATAATTTAGGCTATTAAATGTATCGACGGATTTATTTGAATATCTTACCTTTCCAGTTGCCTTTTTATATCGTGTAATCGCCTGGCGTATGAGATCCTTCACTAATATTTCTCCATCACCACAGGGCACCACGACACGCACAGAACCAAAACACACAGTGACTTTCATGTTATGCGAAGCCTTCCACGATTATTCACTTATTAAACACAAAAAACTTGACACTTTTAAAATGCAGTACTATTAAAAAGTAGGTCATTATCCTGGCATTTAGTTAAAATATATATTTTAAGTTAAAAAACGAGATACTTCACTTCACTATAACATTATAGGTTAGCAGCATATTGCCGCCATTACTAATTTAAAATCATTTCCCTGCAAGGTATTACTATTGACTTTAATAATGCAATACCCATGTGAATGTTCCTTTAAAACGTACTAGATTTTGCACTGTTTGAAACATAAAATAATTCATCACATCACAATTATTACACATAAGTTATGGTTAAAACATTTCACACAAAACATACACAATCTAATCTAGCAGCTGTCACAACTTCGCAACATTGTTTGTTTAGTTAGTTGCCAGGAGACTCCACAGACTGAACCTCACCGTCCTCACCTTGTCAAATTTTTTGAACAAACTGGCCAATAGGAAACTTGCCCTCAAGTCAACGGACGCGAAAACACACCTGTTTGATGTAGTTAAGAAAATATCCGCAACTGTGTCTCGGCAGCACTGTACAAGAGCTTGCACAGTTAGCTGCAGTGGCGCTACACGTGGGGAATTTGTTTAGTTTCGAATATGCCATTGACTTTGGATGGATACTACCATCATAGATTAAACAGATTAAACATTAAACATACCATTGACTATATAACACCATATAACACTACACATGAGTAGTGTTATATAGTCAATGATACTACATTTTGACTTTTCATCCTGTTGTAAAATTAATTGGAGCCTGTTTTCGTTTTGATACGTTCATTATCTTACTGTTGAAATCAAAGAACATGTACATTGATTGATATAATATATAGTGTAATACAATACTGTATTTAATAAACTAATGAGGCTACATAGAAAATAACAATCTTTTGGTTTGATATGCGGTTGATGCAGAGGTAACGAGAGTAACTCAGACGGACCGTAGCCATACTACGAAATGACTTTGTGGTACTGTGTATCTCCGAAAATGTGGATACTGCCCCCAGTGTGTTTCCAAGGCCAAGGTCAAGATATCTTGCCAGAAAAGCATGATAATCACAGTGGCTACTATAAAGAGTAACCTGCCGAACAGATCACGTGATCGGGTTCTAGAAGGCACACGGAGGTCCACTTGGAAAACTAAAGCAGGACAATCAATTTGACCATTGAGTATTTTGCTGAGGAAAACAATGTCGGCATCACAGTGCTTCAAGTAGTGAAGATATTGCATGTGTATATCATTTTGCAGGACGGCCACTGTGTCTTCACAGTACAACAGTACTGTATGCCTTGACGCCGGACAACAAGAAATCTAAATATTACGTGGAAGAGGAAGGGTAGGGAGTAATACCTTCTATGGTAATACAGAGTGTTGAGAGCAATGACATTGGTTAGTCCACGGATGGCATGAAATATGAAGCCTAGTAGCTGGGTTAAAAAAAAACTACCTCGTCGAAGGAGAAGTCTGATGAGAAAACCACTTCCAAGTCTTTTACTAATTACTAGTGACTCTCTTTTCTTCTATTCGCTAATTATATTAATCTATTTGCGTTTATCTACGCACCATTCACATTTTGTTCGTATTTTGTATCTATTGCATATTATTGTATTGCATTTGCATGATACGATCAATCGCATTGAATGTTGATAAAAAAGAATCTGAATCGTCCAAAGTTATGAGGAAATTAAGGATTAAGCTCATTAGAGGAATAAAAGGAAGTGCCACTGAAAGTTAGCTGAAAACAGCACTCATCGTATGTTAATATGCCTCTGACGCAGTCCATCCGACATTGACGGTCAAGGATTAAGGACACAAGTATCAAATAAGTAAGTATCAAGTATGACAAAAGAATTGTGAAGCTTAATCGCACAATCCATTAGCTACGCTGCAAACACTGCAGATCAATACGGAGAAAAGTAAAAGAAGATTAACTAGTAAGTAAAAGTAAAGCTAAAATACCCCCGCCGCAGCAAACCTGCCGACCAAGCGAATTTCCATTTGTCTGAATTGATTTTCAGTTAAATATATTTTAATAACATTAGATTTAACGAGTACCTAGGTTTGCTGCTACAAGGAAACTAATAAAGTGTGTTTTTGAGTAAAATATTGATAGCTTAGTATAAAATAAATAAATTTGCCAAGTTTGATCAAAATATATCCATAAACAAGCAAACTACAACATTTGACAATATTCTCCATAAGAATAACATGGGAATTTTAAATTTACAATTTTTTTAATTTTCTCCGTTACTAATAATCGAACAAAAATACTTTTATATACTAAATTATTTGTTTTTTTAAGCTCTTTAAAAAGGTTTAAAGAGAAATCGGGAAATTTTGTGTTTTGAGGGTCAAAAGTGAGAAAAACCAATTTTTACCCCATAAAACCCCCCGTAAAGCCCCGTTCCCATGGTCCGATCGTGCTGGTTCGCGAACTCATTCAAGTTTATCCCGCTTTACACCTTTACACCAAATTTCATCAAAATCGGACAAAAATTACTCAAGTTATCGCGTTCACGGACGTATATATATATAAGTATATATATATATATATATATACATATATAAAAATTTGAACGAATGGTGTTTTTGGCCCCTGGGGACATCAAAATGAAAAAGTAAATCGGTCCCGGGTCTAGGTCTTACCGTGCCACCTACGGTAATAGCTACTTCCCTATAGGGAAATTCGCTAAAACTAAACAAAAATAACAACCAACTAACCCAACAACAAGTGAAGTGACTTAACCTCCTAATAATGAATAGTAACAAAAAAAATACTTTGAGTTTAATTTTAAGCTAAGTAAAGAAAGATTTAAAGAATTAAGTAAGAAGAGTTGAATTTTTAGTAGTGCACAACAACAAAGAACACAATTTTTAAAAGTGTTATTTTGTGTAAATAAGTAAATATATCAATGTAGGCTAGTAACTAACTGTATCAGTGCTAGCCTGTAACTAGTGCTATCTATTTATTTGCAACATTTTACTTTAGTAGAAGTGGTCTAGTGCTCATAGAAGATTAAAGAGACTATTTCAGAATTGTTTATAGAGGTAAATATTTGTTCCTGTTATAAATATTATAGGCTATATGGATCCCCAATGCGTAAGTTCTCACAGTAGTTAACTTAGGCCTAGGCCTAGTTGTATTTCTCAGTTTGATATAGGCCTAGCCACTAGCCTACGGTACTTTAATTTTGTAATGGAAGGCTACCTACCAAGTAAAGGTAACATTAAACCATGTTTAAGCTGATAACCTACTGTATGTTTAACAACATTTCAACTAATTTGCCCATTATTACAAGATTCGGGTACACTTCCAAATCTGTTGGCACAAACAACCAAATGAGTAGGCCTAGTATTGATTATTCGATTGTTTAATTTGGTTCCTATATCGTTTGGTTAGTTAGGTTAGTTTAACCTTACCTAACTAACTTACCAAACAATAAATTGAAAAAACTTAATCGATATATCAATCAATATTTTCATTCCGTTGTTTGTGCCAACAGATAATAATGGGAGTGTACCCCAAGATTCAAGTCTCTTTGTGATCTTCCAGACAAGTAAGATTAAAAAAACTTTAAACCTGTACCTATGCCATGAAAATTTAATTTTCCTAGTAAAATTGAGTGTTTTAGCTACAAGATCAAAGCTTCTTTCTTCAAAAGCTTTGTTAGGCAAACACTATAACCACTCGGCTACCCAGCCTGTTCAAGGTGAATACCTAGTGAACAATTTTTCTTAAAATACGGTACATAATAATTAGATGCCGTGGCCAGGGGCGCTGAGCTAGAGAAAAAGTTAAAAAAAATTATTGGTACGGTATTTAACAATGTTATATTGTTAAATGAATATTTTACTGGAAAATCGTAAATATATAATCTAGGCCTATGACAATTTACTAGCCTATTTAATACAGGGACAACCTATAACTTTGGCTTTATTCATCGTAGGCCTACTTAACACAATCTATTACACAATTTGTATGATGTTTGTTTTGTAACAACGGATCAATTTGAGCTTTGAATTACAATTTGTATTTGGCCAAATGAGAAAAGTACCAAGATCTTAAGGAATGTTGGAAACATACTGAATACCTAGGTTTTGTTCCTTTCCATATTTTACAATATGTTACGTCTCTGTTTCAGAACAGCAAAAAACAATATGGAGGGTTACTATAATTCTAATCAAAACAATTCCTCCATGGCCCAAAACTACAGGTACCTATTTTACAATATGTTATGTCTCTGTTTCAGAACAGCAAAAACAATATGGAGGGTTACTATAATTCTAATCAAAACAATTCCTCCATGGCCCAAAACTACAGGTACCGTCAAAATCATCAATATCAAATGCCTTCCAAACCCAACACGAGACAGCCACAAGGTGGAGGATTTTCTGCTAATACTTTCAGGCCTTCATACAATCAGGCTCCTTCCAATCCAACAAATTATTCAAGCAGGCAACAAGCCCAAACTTTTGACTACCCAAAACAATATAATGATGAAAAGCCACCACCTTCTTATGAAGAGTCGCAAAGAGATAAGTTACTTAGAAGATCAAATGCCAGCAATCCTTATGAAATGAATTTGGCTGCACAGTCAAGTTCGAATAGAATTACAAGTTTGTTTGATATCCCTGATCAGGCAAAGGAGTTTGGACGACCTCCAGAATGGCCGAGAGGTGACACTAACTTCTCAAACAGCTATCAGCAAGGTCATCAAGAGAGAATGAACCCGAGCACTGACTTCTCTCAGCAACCCTCACTGGCATTTTCTTCTGGTGAGAGAGGAGGATCAACCTACAATTCTTCAACAAGAAATCAAAGAGGTTTCAACCAATCAAATCCAAATTGGAAACAAGAAAGTGGTGAGTCCAGTAGACATGAAAATTCGTTTCAAAGAGAAAGATCAAAGCAAAATCAGGGTGATTTCAACAACTGGGAAGGAAAACCAACAGCTTGGCAAATGGATGAGTGTGGTGAAAGCCATTTCGAAAAAACAAATCAATTAACATCATCTTCAAGGCATGAAGACAGCGACAATGATAACAGCGAATATGTAAACTATAACAACCCATTCCAAGGGAGTGACAATGAAGGAAATGATAACACTCATGGCAGTTTTGGAGATTTAAAACTTCCTAATAAAGTCAATTTGTTTCTCCCCGATCCATCTCTGGTCTCAAAATTTGAGTACTATCCCCCCAGTCCTGAAGAAATGGGTGAGATGTTCAAAGACCTGGTTATACACTTTTTTTTCAAAGCTTCTAAGAACAAGAACAAGAAAGAAAATCCGTTTGTTGTAATTTGTGAAGCATTTAGAAGATCAACAAGCTATGCTAACATAGATATTGAAGATGGATATGATATGCAATATAAGAATAGAAAGTAAGTACAATTTGCTTAATTTAATAGTAACACAACTAAATTTTAATGTTAATTTAGGCTAGGCTATATAAAGCTTACAACAAAATTTTTTTTGGGTTACCGAGCTTTCCAACCAGTGCTGGATTTACCACCAGGCCGATAAGGCCGCAAGCAAAAGGGGGCCGCAGAGGATTGAAAAAAAAACAACATTTTTTAGATAAGAAATCATTTTTTTTTAGCCATCAGTTTGACGCAATTTCAGGTGACGATAATGATGTCTCTGTGATTGTGGACTGAGGGAGATGCTAACGATTTCGCCGCGGCCGCTGGTGACGGTGATGTGTCCTCATGATCGCAGCCTGCGAGAGACGTTTAAGATTTAACCGCTGTCGTGAGTGTCGTTGATGATATCCCCGTGATTGCGGCCTGCGGAAGATGTTCAATATTTCACCACGGTTGCATATGTCGATGATAATGTTACCGTGTTTGAGTCCCGTGGAAGATGTTCAAGATTTCACCACGGCTGTGGGTGTCGATGATAATGTTACCGTGATTGCGGCCCATGATAGGCCGGGGCCACACTTGTAATTTTCAACCAGCGAGACTGTTTTTTCCGTTTTCACGTGCGACGCACGTGAAACAGTTTGCCCGTGGCCACACTCGTCTTACGAGATAGGTTTTTCGGGCAAACCAGCGAGACTGATAGAGCATGCCACACTGGCAATGTGGCAATAAAAATCGTCCGTGTCCGTGATACGCACTCCCCCCCTCCACGCTCACTGCACAGTGAATCATTTTTGTTGGTGTGCGGAGATGGATGTTAGACGAAGGAAAAAGTTGGCGGTGTTATATTATTTGTATAAAAAAAACCAAGACGAGAAGGTTAAACGAAGACATTGGTTACACCCCATAGTTGAAAAGAGACCAATTCATGGTGCGTTATATACGTTGTTTATTGATTTCAGGACAATGACAAGTTTTTTTAGTTATTTTCGCATGTCAATAGCGTCGTTTGATGAATTGCTAGCGAAGATCAAGAGCAACATCCAAGGCAATGATACAAGACTAAGAAACTGCATCAGTCCACAAGAAATGTTGGCAGTGACGATAAGATGAGTGACAAGAAGCTATGATAGCATAGCTTATTATTACGCATTTATCTTTTAAAATTTGACCAACCAAACCCTTGATATTAGCCCCTAAGACTTTATTTTAATTTTAGGGTATGAATTATGAAGAGTGCCTGATTTGATATTTTCTAAGGTTTATGTATTTCAATGTGAATACAGTAATTTGCAGAAATAACAAAATTCCTACGAACGTTATCGCCCAGAATGTCGGCCATGTACTTCCGGTTTCCGTTCTCATAACATCAGCGATACTTAAAACTACATTGATGTAAACGTTGTTTTAGACATTTACTTTATAGAGCAAATTGTATTGCTATTCTGTAAAGGATATTAATAAATCTGTGTCCACATCGGCAGGAGTAGACATAGTAATTAATTATACAAATTATACACCTTCAATAAGAAAACAAAAACACTTAAACAAACTTGAAAACTAAATAACTGGAGACGAGTACAACATATCTCGACGATCGGTCGTAAACTCATAACGAAACTGATGAATGGGGGACGGACACTAGGGTTGTGATGCCAATTAGAAAAAATGTTACCAACACTACCAACTTTAATTTCCTCAATGGGGAATTCTAAATCCCTGACAAAACTCATCATTTTTAGTTCCTACGTCTAATAAAAATGGTTTTTAACTACGTTTTGAAGACAATAGTAATAATAATTGATTAAAAATAATGTAATATAATTATATTAGGTTTTATACTCACAATAACAAATGTGTGATAAAATGAACAGACTGATAATTACTTTCCATGTAGCAAAACACTAAAAATGTGTTATCTCACAAACAATTTAATACATTATAAACAAAATAATATAAGTTTGACTTCTTTAAAATGCTGTCAAATCAAACAATATCACATTGATAAAACAATAATAGCACTTTCTGTATATAGTTTAGCGCAATAATATTAACAACCACTCTACACCATAGGTTAAAACTAAAACGTCCGTGGAAAAAGTTCAGCGAGATAGGATGAGTGTGTTCACTCCCATAAGCCGCAATGCCCCGCGACTAGTTTTACGTGCAACGCCCGTGGAGTGTAAGTAGAGAATACACGTGCAATTCCGTTTGTCAAACGCGTTCACGGACGTTTTTACTCTAGTGTGGCCTGCCCCATATACCGTAATGTATCTCTCAAACCCACGGGTAACGCCCGTGGAAAAAATTCAGCGAGATAGGATGAGTGTGGCCCCGGCCATAGATGTTCATGAATTTCGCCACGGTCACGAGTGTTGAAGATGATGTTCCTGTCTTTGCCGCGGCCGTGGGTGTCGATGATGATGTCCCTGTGATTGCAGCCCATGGAAGATGTTCATGATTTTGCTGCGGTCGCGAGTGTCGATTATGATGTCCATGATTGCGGCCCGCGGGAGATTTTCGCGATTTCGTAGGGCTGGGAGTGTCAATGATAATATTCCCGTGATGGCTTCCCGAGGGGGATGTTTACGATTTCGCCACGGCTGCGAATGACAATGATGATGTACTCATATTATGATAGTGTTTTTAAAAATTGTAATGGTGATTCTAAAAAAATTTGGAGAACTGTAAATAGTGTTACTGGACAATCTCGCAATAAGACAGCAATTAAGAGTTTAAATATTAATGGTAATCTAGTAGATGACGAGAAAATAATCTGTAATGAGTTTAATAACTATTTCTTATCAATTGTTCATAAATTAAATATAAATGAATCGAGACCAACTACTTTTGATCTATGTAATGAAAGTAGATGTTTTAAGACAGAAATATCACCTAAGTCAATATTTTTAGATTATGTAAATTCAGAAGATTTAATTAGTGTAATAATGTCTTTAAAAAACGGAACTTCTCCAGGATTAGATGGTATTAGTTCTTCTTTAATTAAATCAATATTTCCTAAGATATTACACGTTTTGTTACACTTAGTTAATTTGAGCTTTGAAGAAGGAATCTTCCCAGAATGTTTGAAAACGGCTGTGGTGATTCCCTTGCATAAAACCGGCTCAACGTTTGATTGCAATAATTATCGGCCAATATCTCTTCTTTTGACCTTCTCCAAGATTTTTGAAAAGGTAATGAAGAAAAAAATCATAAAATTTTTTGATATGACAAAATTTTTTAGCAAGAATCAATTTGGTTTCAGGGAAGGTTTGAATACAGAATCAGCGTTAAAGAGCTTTATGGATTGTGTTTACAATGGGATAAATGCAGGTCAAAAGGTCACTGGGATGTTTCTTGACATCAAAAAGGCTTTTGACACAGTTAATCATAAAATTCTTTTGGAAAAACTGTTTAATTGTGGTATAAGAGGGGTAGCCTATTCGTGGTTCGAAAGTTATTTAACACAGCGAACACAGTTTGTTAAAATTAATAATACTTTAAGTGAAAAAGGTTATATTGAATATGGTGTACCCCAGGGCTCTGTATTGGGTCCAATATTATTTTTAATTTATATCAATGATCTTTGTAATGCTAATTTAAAAGGTAAACTAACATCCTTCGCTGACGACACTGCATTGTGCTACTTAAAAGACAATTGGAGCGATGTAGAAGAAGCAATACATTCGGATTTGAATGCCCTAAAATGGTGGTTTACTAAAAACCAAATGCTGTTAAGCCCTGAAAAACAAAATTTATAAATTTTAGTTTAAAATTTGAAAAGAGATTTTTAAGTTCTATTTATTACAAATGTGTTGATTGTCTTTGTAATAATTCACAGTGTTCTGTGTGTGCCACGGTAGAACAAACAAAAAAGATCAAATATTTGGGTTTAATCTTGGATCAAGAATTAAATTGGAAATGTCACATAGAGCAGTCAAAGAATAAATTAAATAGCTATTTAAGATATTTTTATTTCCTAAGAAATTTATGTCCAGAAAATGTTTTAAGAATGCTATATTTCTCTCTGGTACATAGCAGAATTGACTATGGTTTATTCTGCTGGGGAGGGGCGTATGAAACCAACTTGAAATCTGTGTTCAAACTGCAAAAACATTTTGTCAGAATGATTAAAAGTAAGGGCAAGATGGAACCATCTTGTCCATTATTTGTTAATTAAAAAATCCTTCCTCTTAAATATATGTTTGTTTTTAAGGTGTTAAGAATGTTCTATGTTATAAGTGGTACTGAACCTATAATACATAACTTGTTCAAGAACAAATTAAGAGGTAAGCAAAAAGTAGTAGTACCCAAACCTAATTCAGTATTTTTTACAAATTGTTACAAATTCTTAGGTCCAAAAATGTTTAATGTTATTCCTGAAGTATTAACACAATGTAAAAGTTTAAGTTTGTTTTCTAAACGATTGAAAATATGGCTTTTATTCAATGAAAATATTGATTTTCTTCTAAAAATCCAAGCATAACATTTTATTTTTTATATAATTATAATATGGACAGAAATGTTGTTATTTAATTAAAAATTTAAAAAGTGTTATTGTGTTGTGGCGTTCTATTTAGAAATATTATTGGTACTGTGTTTCATGTTTATTATTATGTTAGTACTTTCGCTCTGACTCACTATTACGATGTTAATTTTAAATGATGGAACCTCTATACAGGCTTTCCTTCAGAGGTCCTATATTTCCAGGATGCTAGTATTATAATATAATGTTAATTATACTCTTTGTATTAGTTGTACATTTTTAACTGTTGTAAATCAAAACTGTAATTATCTGTAGCATTTTTGGAAATAAAGTCTATTCTATTCTATTCTATTCTATTCTATTCATCATCGCAGTCCAATGGAGATTATTTAACACGATTTCGCCACGGCCGTTAGTGTCAATGATGATGTCCTCGTGAATGCGGCCCGCGGGAGGTGTTCACGGTTTTACTGCTGTCGTGGGTGACGGTGATGATGTCCTGAAGGTTACAGCTCACGGGATATGATGACGATTTCACCGCGGCCACGAGTGTCAAGGATGACGCACCTTTGTTGCAGCCCGCGGGGAACGTTCATGATTTGGCCGCGGTCACAGTTACCTATGATGGCTTTGACATGATTTAGGAGGGGTGCTCACGATTTAATCCACAATCATGGGTGTCGATGATGATGTCCCCTTGATGCATAGGAGATATTCACGATTACATCTTTGATCGCAAGAAATTTCCTCCACAGGGGGAGGGCCGCTTAATTAATTTGGCCTAGGGCCGCAAGTACCCTAAATCCGGCACTGTTTCCAACTATTCAAAGTAGTATGGATTCACAGTATTTTTTATTAAGTTAGTTGAAAAGATTAAAATCACCTATAACTGCAATGAACTTAGAGCCCAATTTCAGTTGGTTAGAAGTAGGCCTAGTTGTTAAAAAAAAACCAGCCTACCTTCAAACTTTGATAAAAAAGTATGTTCAATGCACAAGTCTGGGTTTGGCAATTCATATAAATAATAGTCCTACATACTTAAAAAAAAAAAACGTTGGATGGAAAAAATAAACCAGTACTTAACTAAGCAACTGAGACAAAAACATAACCTTTTCTAAACAAACTTATAACACACCCTTTCCATTGCTGTAACAATCAGCTGTTTGAAATGAAAAGAAACAGGCTCAACGACCGTTCTGCACAATTCTGTTTGAACAACCCTGTGAGATATGTTCATATCACGTTATGAGCATCATACCACAATTTTGTCGCTGTAACTAGTTGCTTAGTACAATCTTTGTACTACCATAAGTAGATATTCACACCAGTTTCAATATCGTTAATCTAGTCCATTCACTCACATGATGAAAACAGTTATTGCAAAAACTAGTTGACTTATGCAGAATAGTAATTCTACTCTGTCAGGTTTTTTTCTCAAATTCTATATAGTCACCCCTCAAGAGGTCTTGTTGTTTGTAGGTTCTGCACAATGAGGTATCATAGGATGATGCTGGTGCGGGGTGTTGGCGAGAACAATAATCTCAAAGAGCCTCGAATAGCAGGGGCTGTAGAACTGATCAACCAACTTGCCATGTCCTGCTATACTCTCGAGGTAAGGTTATTTGATCTTCTGCTATTGTGAGTCAGTGATCGAGTTTGCTGAGATCTTTGAACATTTTCTTACCATATTTTATTATCATTAGTAAATGCATATAAACTACATTTAGACCTTAGAAATTTTCAAACTAAATAAGTTAAGTCTAAAAAACTTCCATTACAATTGGTTAAGAAAAATTAAAGTAGAAAATTCAGTTCAAGGATGCAGAATTCAGCCTAAATGGTAAAATATTATTTAATACTAACAGTTTTTCCCCTCTCCTTCTGTAGTATTAGGCATAGGCCTAGGCCTAAATCAACTTTTTAATATTTTTGGTTTGTTCCCATTTCAGTCCAAACCTTCATACTTCAGTGATCAAGCTCTTGAGAGAATGATTAAAGTTGGAAGTGTTATTGGACTATACACGTGAGTTTATTTTTTTTCTTTTAGACTTTTTTACTACAGTATAAATCCATCTCTGACACTCAGGGCTGTTCCATTTTCCAAAAAGTCCTGTTTATTATACCAACTAAGTTAGTAAGGAATACAGTAAAATTTATTTGTACTTGCCCTACTGTAAACAAACAGGTTGTATAAATTTGTCTATGTGGCTAAAAAGTATGAATGTTTGTTGTTATTTTATGTTTTAATTTTTTAAAACCTATTTTTGTACTGAAGTAGACTCTCTACTGTTTACCAGAAGGTTAAATTTTTAAGGTTTACTAAAGCCAAATGATAAAGGAATAAATTAAATTTACTGCTACTATAGAGTGATAAAAAAAGTTGAAACTTGTTCCTTTACACGACTATGATAAAGTAGTGTGGTGTGTGTGTGTGTGTGTGGAAGTATTTGAGCCAACAATGGCTGTCCGAACCATCCAAAGAGTTCAGCCCATGGACATTATTACAAACATTGTACTCGTCTCCAGAAACACAAGATTTGTTTTCAAAGTGCAAACATTCCACAATACAGTAGACTTCCTATTATCCTTGGGATCGAGGCCACTCCGGATAACGGTTTTTTCGGTTAAACCGACATCCCTAAAAACTCGTTAAACGGACCATTTAAATGCATAATGTATACAATATTTGACTTAAATTTAGGAGAGCATTGTATTTAGACACGTGATCACTGGTCTCAAATTTTTCTCGCGAGAACATTTGTTTCGGTACTGCCCACTTCCCGCAAATCTAGTCCGGTAAAAACCGATGTGCTGATAAAAATTGTCCTGTTAAAGAGATGTCATTTCCGCCGAGTGTAGTCCAGTTAAAAGCGATGTCCGGTTAAAAGGTGTCCGGATAAGAGGGAGTCTACTGTAAATAAGATCACACTTGGGAAAATATCAGCAAAATTTTTTCTTGATACAAATCTGCCGTAGTGGATGAGGCAAGAGTTAGAATGAGCTAACTGTTGGATCCTTCAAAACTCAACTACTTAGATGACTAATTCTGACAGTAGCCACTTAGAAACTATACTTTTAATGTTTACTGTTATAATTATTTTGTCAGTGAACACATTCTCAATTAATTTTTAACCTTGATTTCAGCATAGTTCCAACGAGGCAAATTCATAATTTTGAAGCAGCTTGCAAGTATTTTGAAGATATTCAATCCTCCTGGGAGGAGTCAGACGTTGAGTACTTATTTCAAATGAAGGACGCCCAACGGTTAAAAAGGTAGGAGTAATCACTAAGTATTTCTTTATGGTTTCAGTCACTAGAGTCTCAGGAAATAAGATTTAACAACATCTACTTGGTTGATAAAATAATTATTATCAACCCAAGCAACCCCCACCCCTCTGGTAAAAACTTCCCCACGATGTAATCATTTAAGGTGTATTTCAGGGCCAATTCTAGAAATTTTCCTAGCGTAAACGAACAACGTTTCAAATTACGTCTGCTGACTCTTCCGATTGCTCCTGATTTATGGCCATCAGTCCTAATGTTTGTCGATTGCTCCTGACTGCTAGCAACTCTCCCGATAGATCCCAAAGTCTGCTTATCGCTCCCAATGTACGCCCATCCCTCCCGTCATCATTTGCTGATTGACCTCGTGGAATGCACTAATATGGCTTAAAACAGCATTCAAAAAAATGTTTGCATACCTGAAAACACAGTTTTCGGATTATTAAAAGTGCAAGACGATCAGATGCCATTGCTATGATTTTCTATAGCATTTTTTGCATGTTGTTCTGCATTATTAACATAATGTTAATGTGTGTATTGTAACTGTAAATTTATTTGCAGTTTGGCAACTAGAACTGGAAAGTTTGACGCTCGTATGATCAAGGGTGACCAATGGGTGGGCGTCTGTCGTCACCGAACCCCACAATATTGGAGAGACAAGATGTTGGCCAGCGGTACCATGGAGAATGAAAGGTTTATTTTGAAACCTCCCCAAGGAATTGGGTAAATTTAAATGATTTTCTATTGCAAACTATTTTCTTTTTAAAATTACTTATTAATTTATTACTAGCAGCAAGTTTATAAAATTTGTTTCCTGTAATTACAGTCATTTGAAACCCCGTTTAACAAAATAATACGATCTAATCATAATCAATAACTTGTTCCCTAGTTATATAACCAAACAGTAAGGCACAAATCAAGAAATTAACCCTATAACAATAGAAACAAAATTTTGTCGACACTAGCCCCCAGTGCCACCGTACATGAACTAAACACGTAAAACGTCCTTTAAAATTTACAATGGGATGAGAAGTCTACTTGTGTTGGTTAGTCTATGATTAAACTCTTGAAGTGCCATTTTAAACTCACAACAACATTTATCACTAAAGCTAGGGTATGCGGAACACCCTACACCACAGAGAAACAATAAAAAATTACTTCTCTGTGCCTACAATGTCCCTGTTCGAAATAGGGATGTGTGTGGACAGTCTAGTCAAGTACTGGGCGAGTTGAACAAATCAACAACTGGGCCTAGTAACTGGGCCGAATAACTCGTCTGTCATACTTGACCCGTGTAAACCAGGTTTTAATGATTCAAATTTATAACTCAGGTTGACAGTAATAATGTAATAAAAAAAAACTTGTTTCGATTATTATGTTTATGTGAGTTGTAAGCAACAATGGAAAAACAGTTTTGATATGATTATGCTCAGATCCAAAATTTGTTTAAAATGGGACAGTGCATTTACCTTTTACATTGCATAGAGGTCATCCCTTTTCTAAAACATCAATGATTTTTTTAATTGAATAAATATTTTTTTCCATATCAAATTACAACTTAAAGTTTTTGATTTTTTAACCTAACTTGTGTTAAAGCTAAGACCAAATAGTTAGTTATTGAAATCCAAGCAGTTATTGCATAAGATGCCTTCATAACACTACAACCTTAATTATGTGTTTTAGGAACCTACTGATAGAGAACTTGAACATCACAGATTATATTCATAATCTTAGAACTCTACCTAATCCTTCAAGTAAGTAGTATACTAGAAAATTGTCATTAGTGTCACAATGATCAATTCGAATTATTCCAGAGTCTTACAAACCTTACCTACTGAAGCATTCCGCTAATCCAATGTTAGGATATAAAGGTTTCTGTATTTAAATGAAAAACAAAGCCATATGTTCTGGAATACTGTTGGTGTTGGACACTCCAATCAAAATAAATCGCCACTTACTATTTTAATGTACTGTATTTACTGTCTTGTGAGTCAACAGAATAAGTGTAAATACATGTTTAAGTTTAAAGTGTAATTATATGTAGCCAACATGTTTCTTCTTTCTAAAGTGACATATATATTTTTAATGAAAATCAATTATTGTTGTGTTGTTGTTGCGCCCGCACACATAAAAACCCCTCATCTTGGAGTAGGATATTTTCTGTTCTTTACATAATATGAAAACAATATTTTTAAGTTAGAGTAGAACTCCAATTATCCACACTCTTAACTATCTGAATCGCTCAGAAATAATATTAAAAAAAACTTTGAACCGCAATAATAAGTATTGTTATTAAGAAGGTAGTAGTTGTGATTGCGGCATATTCCAAAACCTCTCTCCTGATCGTTTTAACATCTTCATCGTCTCCCGCGGTCACTGAATCATCCTCATAGTTTATGTTCGCGATCGCGGGAAAGTGATTAATATAACCTACGTTCGTGTTGACATCATCATAGATGCCGCGGTCACGTAAACATCGGTATCGTTTTCCGCCATCGTGGCAATATTGAACATTTAACACGGTCTTGTAGAGATTTAGGTAAAAATCCACTTATCCAAATTTCTGATTATCCGAATCTGTGGGGTCCAGTCCAAATTGATCTGGATAATTGGGGTTTTACTATATGTATAACCTTGGTTAAATACGTGTTTGACAGTAAAACTTGTGTAAAGATCATTAAATACCCTCAATATTTTAAGGTGAGTAGGATTTTTGAGATTTTATAACTTGGCAGACAAAAATATTTATTTTGGTAAGATCAGTTCTCGATTTGCGGGGGATCACAGCGGAACGGAGTTCTGGTACCTTTTTTTTGGAAAGATAAAAATATTCTCATTAATAGGTAATAGGTACTAATCAGTCACATTAATTAGGTTGCAGTTCTGGCTCCTATCTTGTTTACAAAACAAGCACTAGCTTAGTTCATGGTTGCCAGTCTTCTCCATACTATAAACAAGAGATTAGACCAACATAGAGAGGTTAGGCAATAATTGAACTGCATCCCACCTGTAACATCAGGTACTGTAGCCGAAAATTTAAATGGTAAGATTACCTGTTTCCGTCTGTGATCCTAATTTGTAGTAATGAGCTACCGATTTCGAGGTTATAACCTCATCTTCAGGCTCTTGTCACTCTTGCGAGGTCGTCGAGTTTTACAAACACACAAAACACTGACATTTAAATAAATAAAATACAAGACATTGACGGACGAATATGATTTAACATAAAATTCGGGAACTAGTTCCACACACGACGTAGCACGGGCAAACGTTTTGTCATGACTGGGAGTAGGCTGTATTTTATTTATCTAAATGTCAGTGTTTTGTTAGTTTGTAAAACTCAACGACCTCGCAAGAGTGACAAGAGCCTGATGATGAGGTTATAACCTCGAAACCGGTAGCTCATTACTACAATTTAGGATCACAGACGGAAACAGGTAATCTTATACCATTTTAATTTTCAAGAAGTGATCTTAGACCAAATAACATCATTATACTGTAGCTGAATATGCAAGTATTGTTCTTATATAAATTCTTTCAGGAGGTGCTCTACAAAACAGGTATGGGCCTGATGGATTTGGCCCAAACATTAGCAAGGCGGTTGCCCCGTGGGAAAGAAGATTTGGTCCTGGAAAAAACTTCCGAAAGAAGGAGAAGCTAATAGCTAAGCAGTTGAGAACAGGAGTCGCTATCAGTAACACGAAAGGATTCAAATTCTTGAGTAAAAAACAGAAACAGAAATTGAAGAAGAGGTTTGGTAACTGAAACAGTCAAGATTTTAACTTACTTTTGTTATCCAAGTGTGATTCTTATTTGATGTATTTGAAGTAAATACTCACCATCAAGATAGAAAGTACTATTCTAATTGTTTGGTCAATGATTTCTTACTAGTATTATTAATCGTAATATATTATGAGTTTGTTCAGCTGTTTATTTGATTTCCTTTATTCCTTATTTTTAGAATTTATACTCTAGGAGATACCATAAACCTTCCTCGACTTGAAGGGCTCTGTGCTGGGTTTTCGCCTCTTAACTGTATAGTAGTTCTAGATAGTAAGTATACGGAATTTCAAAAACTAAACTCATATTTTTAACTGCTACAAAAAATTAAGGAATGTCCCTCGTTTAAAGTTTTCTCTAATTCTTTCCGTTTCTGTTATCTCAATGGTGTACTCTTTGAGTTGATCACCTGTATAGTAAGTGTGGTAGTAAGCATGTAGTAATTAAGCATGGTAAATACCAAATTTAGAAATGTGCATGTTATATGAATCTATTTTAGTTCTAAAGAAAATGAGTGTAATGTAGATAATATTTTAACTTTGTGAAATCCAAGTTGACAGCGATCGGTTCGTTACTGACCGCAACATGACAGTTTCTATCTAATGAGACAACATTACACTTTGCAACATGTTTGTTTTCCACTTGATTGCATTTCATCCAAACTGATGAAGGTATTGTCGAATGATATGAGTAGTTGGACACTTCTATTGATTTAGAGTTAAACATGTACTCTCCAGGCTTTATAATTTATAAACTGAAATGTGAAGGAGTTAGTGAAACTTTCCTGTCACAAGTCATGGGCTATTAATTAACAGCTGTGTGTCTAAGGAATGTCGCCTTAGACACACAGACATGCCTTAGGAATGTCGTCTAAGGAATGTGTGCCTTAGTCACTAACAAGACTACAAGATCGCGCCACTCATCCTACACTCATCTCCATTCATAATTGGCTCAAAATACCTACTTTGTATGGTCGCCATTTCGTTGAGATTTTCTAAATATTTATAAGTATTATTGTTTTCCAACAAATACGTAATTCACTGATAGCGACTGAGCCTACGCACAGGCTTCCAGCCCATGTAGGCTTATTTCCTAAATGACTATATTAACATAGCTTTCTCTGAGACCTCCATCTTTTGTTATTATTATTATTATTATTAAGTTTACATGTATTTTTATAATTATTTATTTTATCCATGCAATAGTAAGTAAGGTGTCTGTTTCACTGGAAGTTTATGTTTATACTAGCTGTACCCGCGGGCTTTGCCCCGTTTAACTTCACAAGTGAGCTCGTTCGCATGGCTCAATCACGTCCTGGTTGAAGTTCGTTCGCTACGCTCACTCACCTTTAGGTTGGAGCTCGTTCGCTCCGCTCACTTGCCTTCAGGTTAGCTCGTTCGCTACGCTAACTCACTTCCAGGTTGAAGTTCGTTCGCTACGCTCACTCACCTTTTGGTTGCAAATTGGCTGTAGTCGTAAATTTAAAAAAAAATAGTGCTGCGCCCTGTTGGTAATCCTTGTAATTTTAATGCTATTGAACATCATAGAACAGAACCAACTTGTTTAATTGAAACAGCTGTTAAGATTCCTTTTAAATATGAAAAATCATAAGGTTAACATGGGAAACTCCAGAGCCACTGGGGCGGAGCCCGAAAGCCCGATCAGAATAAAAACTACTTAGTTTTCCTATTTAATGCCCAAAGAATCGGTGTACCGAATTTCAGCCTCTTAGGTAAATGGGAAGTGGGAGAATTAGTGATGAGTGAGTGAGTGAGTGAGTGAGTCAGTCAGTGAGGGCTTTGCCTTTTATATATTTAGATTTTATTCTGTTGAATATTTTTGGAAATAAAGTATATTTTGATTTGAAAAATATTAAAAGTAAGTATAGAGTCAAAGGTCAAAGTAAAACCCACCTGCTGTATTCTTTAGATTACTGGAAAATCTCCCATTCAATCCCAACTATACATGGCAGCTGTAATTTCACGAGTGCTCGATCGACAATGCGTACTCAACTGCAACATATACCTATCCTGTAAAAATCATGCACTCAAATGTTTAGTTTCTTTATTGTGTTATTTCATTATACTTTGTTCACAATATTTAGGCGGTTTTAGGGGAAGAAATCTATCCCTTCCGCTTGACCCTTACCTTTAAAATAATAGCTTAACAGCTGATTAAGCAATATACATTAAATACAAAAAAAATGGTCGGGGAATTTCTCCTCAAACCGCCTAAATATTGTGAACGAAGTATAGTAATGTATAATCTTTCTTAGTTTGTTGAGTGCATTTAGTTTTGATTTTACTTAGTGTTTTTGTTTTTAAAAGAAATCTACATTTAAATTACCGTTAAATGTGGGAAAGTAACAATTTGTTGCTTAAAGTAAGGGATTGTTTTAAGACTAAGTACGAAGAATAAGTATACATTACAAAAGGCAATTTCTGACATGTTTTTTTTACATTAGCAACTGTTAGTTAGTAATCCATATTATATAAACGGACAATATATCTTTCTTAAAAGTGTCTGATTACTTAAACTGCTCTAAGCAAATTGAGAAAAATTAAATTACCCAAGTTAATTTAAATAATACATTTGCAAACTTGTCCAAACATTCGGAGATTGGGAATTACTTTTGATGCCAATCCTATTCAAGTCAGAGAGTCAAAGTTAAAAGGTTTTCAAAAGGTAGTCCGTGGTCAGGATATTTGAAGCTAAATTAGTTTGGTGGCAGATTATAAAGATAAGTGGTTTACAAGTCCAAGCTTTTGAGGTATTGCCGTAAAAGTTTCATTGAACTAGGTTTAAACTAATTCCCGACTTTGATAATGGCTGTAGTTGTAATGCAATTGAGGATCATAAGATAGAATTATCTGATGTGGTTAAAATTGAGCAAAAGGAATCAAGGATAAGGGTGGGTACTGGACTAGTATCACTTTAATAATTTACTTTGAAATGGCGACAATACAAATTTAGGTATTTATGCCAAGTGAATGGAGATGAGTGGTGCGATCTTGTAGTCTTGTTTGTGAATAAAATGCCGACATATTCCTTAGACACACTACACAGCTGTTAATTAATAGCCCATAAAGCCAATGGCAACTAAGGAACCTTACAGTTTATTGTGGAATCCGAACAAAATTTTTGCCTTGTAATTAACGAATTGGTCTAATTATCAGAATATTACTGCGGATAGTAGTAGTACCATAGATAAAACATACTCCTTTAGTTGCTTAGTCTATGGTGGTACTCACTAGTGCTAGTGCGGACGTTAATCCACACCAGGGAGTGTCGCTTTCACAGTGCATGCATTTATGTATTTCAGACATCTCTACCTTCAAGGGGTTTATTCCTATGTCTCCCATAGGTTTAGCTGTTTACTTTTAACTTATATTTTAATACTAGGAATTATATTAGTAAATAGTTATTTGTGCAACTAGTGAGAAAAGTGAGCAATTGACTCACTCGAGAGAAATCCTTACTCACGAGCCGTAGGCGAGTGAGGAATGTTTTCTCGAGTGAGGCAATTGTTCTTTGAACTCGAGTTGCACATTATACTTTTCCTACAGTTACCATAAAACAAATAAATTGGTGAAGAAACATAACCTATTTTTACACAGAAGTGAACTTTTAATATAACATTTAATGTGAAGTGACAAATACAACAGTACAACAGCTGACCAGCTGATTTACAGCCAGTGGTGCCAACGTATTTCGCGCGCATACGACTGCGATTTTATCGTTGATTTCGAAAAATGGTCAAATTTATCAGTTTTTTAGTAGTGATTTCTATACGTTGCCTGCATGATACGCGCTCACTATTTCGTGCCTTCACGTTGCAAATCTGGAGTGAGACAAAGTAATTAGAGTGAGACAATGTTAACATTGTCTCACTGATAAGCGAATTGGCCACTTTGCTTTCTCAAATCAGTGAGGGAACATGTACATTGTTAGGTAACTGTAGGAAAATATGTTTACACCTCTATGTTTCAAGAATAGTTTTCTGAAAGTCTAAATAATGTACAGTTCCCTTGATTTTTTTTTGTCTTTTGAGCAATCACATAAAAAATTTCTATTTGTGGAATATTTGTTTAACTTCAACAACAAACCTTTACCCCTCAATAAGCTACACTCACTCCACACAGATGTCAATCTATACTCACACTGCACTCATACCAGCTTTTAATACACATTAGTGCACCTTTTTGTCGTAAAGGAATGGAAATAATTTTATTAATAATAAAGTTAACGTTAACATTTTGTGGAGGATTTCGCTTAGGTCACAATAATCACAGCCGAGCGATCAAAGCAGTTATAACTCGACTAAAGAGTGGCTGTGTAAACTCAACAGCATGACATTGCTGGCTTAATTATATTGCTAACTGCTGTTTGAATACTGGCGTTCACCTTAACCTAAATGTTGTTTTATTCCGTGTCAGTTAAAAATCATTATTATTACTATTTTCTAAAGATAATGTTTTATAATTAATTGCCACTTGGATATTTAACTCAATTTTCTAGTGTTTCAGCATAAGGATTGTATTTGAATATTTTTGGTATTATAGTGCAACTTCTTTTGTTTTGTGCAAAACTTGTTGATAATTTATCATTTGACTACCTTTCAAATTAAGCCATATAACACTTAGTAAGTTACTTCGAGCCTGAAGATGTCTACTCTGCCAGTCAAACTAGCTGGTCTCAAGAAACAATGCATATTACATAAATGCAGGTATGTAATGCATTGTCAGTAGTCAATGACGTTGTCAATTTACAAAGTTTTTGTAACAGTTCAATCATTTAAGCCAGTTTTGATGTGAGAGTTGAACACTGAACAGCAAAACAATATCTGAATATCCGATAAGCTGATCTGAACAAGTCTTTATGTAGGTCTGAGTACATTTTGTATCCGACACCGTTGAGATAAAAATATGGAAACAGTTTTATTAGTATGATTAATTTAAATCCAATATGTAAGTCAAGAAAATGGTAATAGATTATTTAGTATCTTTCATTATTCGTATTGAAAATGGCATTTTCCGGTGCCCACACAAGTTTAATCAAGTTTGTATCACATTTCACGTACGAGGCTAAGCAGGAATATTTTGATCCAGAAAATCACTTTTGGTACAAGCTATGAACAATAATTTT